CCCTAATTCAAAGTGTAGTGCGGCCACTGACTGGTTGTGTGTGTGAAACTTTAGCTGAGTTACTTTTCCTTTCTTCCTGTGTGTCAGTTTTCTCACCCATAAAATGAATACAATGATAGTCATTCAGTTATTGGGTTGGTGGAAGGATTACACAACCTAATTTATGGAGTACATTTAAAACAGTGTCAGGATTGTCTTAAACACCCTGTAAATGGAGTTGTTAAGGTGATCTGAATTCGATCCTACTTTGGGATTACATGTGGTTGAATGATACATTTGCTTAGTGTGTCAGTCAGCTTTCCTCACTGTAAGGAAATAATTAACTGAAAGGTTTATTTTGGCTCATGGTGTGGAGATTCTAGTCTGCGGTCTCCTGGCCCCATCGGGCAGCACCATAGTAGGAGCTTGTTGCAGAGCAAAACTGCTCACTCAAGGCCAGGAGGCAAAAGAGGAAGAGGAGGAACTGAGGTCCAACAATCCCTTTTGGGGGACCTAAGACTCATTGACCTAAGGAACTCCTAAGCCTCTAACACTTGAGCCTTTGGGACACTCAGATGCAAATCAGCATTCACTGTACCCGAATGTCCTGAACATCTCCCTGTGTGCAGTTGCCATGTCCCCTCCCCCAAGCACTCACAGATGCTGAATCTCTGGAAAGATTGCTGCCAAAGGCCCAGAGAACAAAGATGGGCTCTCTGTTCCCCCACCATCAGAAGTCTGGTTCCTAGCACAGTGCTCTATACCACCCTCAAATTCACAGCATGTACCTGTACGCATGTATGTATGGTACAGAAAGAAGATTGAACCTAAAACCTTCATGCTGAGCTAATCCCCAGCCCTGGCTTTTTTAAGACAAGATCTTGCTAAGATGCCCAGGTGGAGCTCAAACTTGTAAATCTTCCTGTGTCAGCCTCCCAGAGTGCTGGGTTACAGATGTACACTACCATACCTGGCTGTTACGGTTTGTGTCTAGGCGCCCCTCGAAAGCCTCATGCAGTCTTGGGGCAGCTTCTGGAGTTTGTGATTGATTACTGTGGGTGTGGATGCTGCACCTGCCCTGGGGCAGGTAATTTGCATTACAATGTAAGGTGGGAAGAGAGTCTAGCAGCTTGAGCTGCTGCTACCCTTCCTTGCGCTCTTGCTCTTTGCTGCTACCATGAAAGGTTGTTCTCTGCCATGTGTCACTCTGCATTGGACCCAGCTGAGTATGGACTGAAACCTCCAGTAACTGTGAGTTAAATAAACCTTTCCTTCCTTCATTTTGAGTGTCGGGTATTTGTCCCAGCAACAAGAGAAGAGTAACTAAGACACTGCCTGACCTTATTGTTTCAGTCATTTAACTTCAAGTTTGCCCAAAAGACTGGAAAGGTGGGACTAGATTCTCATTCCACTGTTAGGGTGAAGCATATAGAAGGCCCTTACTGAATTTGTGTTATGTATGTACTGAATGGAGTTTCTCTGCGTGAAAAAAAGTTGCATATATGTGTTTCATATGTATGCTATATATTATATATATATATATGTATAATTTTTTTGAGACAGGATCTTGCTAGGTGGCCCTGAATTCACTCTGTGGCCCAGGCTGGCCTAGATCACAGTGATCAGCTTCTCAAGTGCTGGGATTACAGGTGTGCAACATACCTGACTAGGAAATTTCGTATACTTAAGGCTTTGCCAGTGTAGTCCAACTTTTTTTTGGCTGATTTGCTTGTGGGGGAGAAGCTGTCTCTGGCCCCACATCTACGGAGCTTCCGCTCACCAGCTGATTAAGGCAGCTCCACCTATTAGTAACTAAGAAGTGTGTGTGACACACAGGGTCAGGGAAGGGTGGGGATATCTAGTGCGGAGCAGTGCATTGAAAGCCTTCTCAGATGTGCAGGTCTAAGTCAACACTGCCCAGCTGCACAGCTGGGGAAACTGATGTTATCATGGAGCAGTCCAACCCGAGCTCACTATCAAAGGGTGAATCGTGGGCACAGAAACTCCCAGAAACCTCTTCAAAGATAAAGACCTAGTTTTAATAACATATTTAAGTCAAGGTCATGCAACACCTGTGGCTGGAGTGCTAGCTAATTTACTTATCACTGATTCTTCTGCCCCCTCCAAAGTCCTAGACAAACACTATTAGAAGCAATCTATTTGTTTACTGTCAACATCTACCATTCATTAAGTGCCTACTGAGAGCTAACAACTTCATGGTGAATGCTCAAAAATTTTTTAAAAATAATTTTAAATTCCTGTAACAGTTGTAAAGCTAGAAGCCCCCGTGTCCTCCAGCCTGACGATTCCACGGTCTTGGTCTCTCATGATCTTGGCACTTGTGAGTAGCACTTCTTAGGTATTTCATAAAATGTCCCTGAAGCTGGATTTGTCTGATGTTTTTCACATGATTAGACCAAGGTTATGGATTTGGGGAGGAAAAGTAAGTATCCTCGGGGCTGGTGAGATGGCTCAGTGGTCTTAAAGCACCTACTTGGAATAGGCTTAGCAAAGCACAGGGGCCGCGGTTCAATCCCCCAGCACCACATGCCAGCTAGCCCCGCCCCCTGGTGGGCTGAGCTGGCCACACACACACACACACACACAAATAAATAAATTGTAAAAAAATTACTTAAAAAAAAAAGAAGTAAGTATCCTCAGTATTTAGTGAATTTCTCATATCCGTAAGTTGGCCTACCACAGACAACAGTTAGCAAAAACCAAATGCAATAGTACTCTAGTGGCTAAAAGAGAAATGTAATATGCTTTCAGGGAACATACGAGGTGGTAGGGACAGACAAGCTTACACATTAAGGTACAGTCTCTGAGAATGTTAAGCAGAGCACAAGTGCAAGTGTGCAGCCTCTCAGAGGGACAAACTCTTTGCTGTTGGGTACTATAGAGCCAGTGTCATAGCTAAATTAGAAAGGTTTTCCAGTTGGGTGTAATGGCACACATCTGGAATCCCAGCACTTAGAAGGCTGAGGCAGGAGAATTGCAGAGATTTCGAGGCCAGCCCATGCTACTTAGTGAGTTCAAGGCTAGCATGAACGGCATACTGAAATCATGTCTCAAAATGCAGAGAGAGAGAGAGAGAGAGAGAGAGAGAGAGAGAGAGAGAGAGAGAGAATTTCCCAGAAAAGTGGGATTTGAGTTGGGCCTGGAAGGCCAGGAGGATTTGTCTGGGTGGAGGGAAGGAGAGCTTAGGTACAGATGGGGCAGTTCTAAGTACCCAGGTAGGGCCAGCCTGGGAAGTGGTACATTCTGCACTGAGGGTCTGTGCCCATGGCAGCAGAGCCGGGGCCACTATGACATGGAGTGTCTGCTGTCCTGTGCCTCCCATGCCAAGCATCTTGAGCCTGAGGCAAAAGGAAAACTCATTCCCACTGATCCTGTTATTTAAAATTTTGATATTTTGTTCTGTATATGTTTTTTTTTTACATTAATTTTGATTTTAGAAAATAGTACAGCTGGGGAGATGGCTCAGTGAAAAAAGCACTTCCCTGGCAAGCGCAAGGACCTGAGTTCAATCCCCGGTTCCAAAAAAAAAAAAAAAAAGAGAAAATAGTACAGCAAAGTACTATTTATTTTGATCATTGACTATGCCATAGGGAAGTGTCTCAACTGCCTTATATTAGTTCTAGCCTTGGGCTGTTTCTGAAGTTTGGGGGTCGAGCTATGGGTATTTATTATTATTAATCAATTTGCTCATGTTATACTCATTGGTTACTAGATAGCATTTAATAAAAAATATGAAAAACTTGAATTTTAAGAAGGCTAATTTGGAGCTATTGCACCTGAGAAATATGAAAGGAAAAGCCCCCATGCTCCAGTGTCACCCCTGGCAGAGGCGAATCACTCCCCACTGTGGCTGGTATGCGGTACACCAGGAGAGGGCTGCCTGCCACAGCCATATTGGGGGGATACAGGGATGTATCAGAACCTCCAAATATGAGGGAAGGGAACTAGAACTCCCAACCTGCTGGATGTCCAATATGCTGAATTTGTGTTCTCTAAAATTGAAAAATGAATTCTAGGAATAGCAGTTTAAGAGTAGAAAATATTTATTAAGGGGGACAGATTAGATCCAGCTCCTGAGAGGCAGGAGGGGGCCTGAATGGGCCACCAAGGGCCCCACTTCTCAGGGAAAGTTTTATAGAACACAACCAGGTGGGTTCAACATGGATTATAGTTATAACCAACCAATAAGATTATAAGTATAGGGCCAAGGATAAAGCTCAGTGGCAAAGTGCTGGCCTGAGAAGCATAAGGTCCTGAGTTCAATTCCTGATTCTAAAATAAAAAAAGAGGTTGTAAGTAAAGTGGTTTGGCTAATATGCTCCCTCGGTGAAGCAAGTCATGTAGCAAGGGCATATGGAAAGAACAAAGACCTTTTTAAGAAGTGGTAAGTCCAAAGAAACTAGGTCAGCCACTGAGATGATTGATGTCCAAACTTCATAGACCAGGTGTTACTGTTATCTTGCCCTTTGGGGAAGTATACAGGCTTTGTCAGCTTTACCTTGAGGCCTGGTCTCCACCAGAAGTGCCTCTGCCAGGCTGTAATGTGTTTTTACCTTGGTACTGACTCTCTTAGGGACCTAGCCCTACCTGACTTGTTTCTACCTCGCTTAGCTGTCTGTAATAGGGGACCACACATGCTGCCCCCTTGGAGACCAGCTGCTCCTTGCGCTGGACTTCAGCACAGGGCTGTAACCAAGGAGGCAATGGAAACTCACAAACTCAACCTATGTGTCAGGCTTGAGGGTCTATGAGACAGGTGGTGTTTGTACAACACTCATACATCTTAGCATGTAAAACCTCAAAAAGCCCTCAAATTTTTTAATTTTATTAATATATATTTATGTATTTGGTAGAGGGTCTCACTACACAGCTCAGACTCCTAGTGATTCTCCTGCTTTCAGCCTCCCTAGCACTGGGATTACAGGCATGTGCCACCCTGCTCAGTCTTGGTGGTGGCTCAGTGTGCCCAGGGGTGGGGCCCAGCACAGCATGTGGGTCCAGGGATTGAACCCCCACCCCTGCACTTGCCTAAGCAGCAGCTTAGCCCACTGAGCTATCTCACAGGCCCTTAAAAACTCAAATCTTAATATGCACAATGTACTGTTTATCAGTACACTAGTAACCAGTGAAAGATCTTTTTCAGCCAAGAAGCTGATTAGATGGAAGCATAAATCTCAAAAAAGGCCAAGGGTTGAAAGGTGCAGGCCACGCCTGTGCAGGTGGCTGGCCCTTCTGTCACTGGATGTGGACTTCCCAGTTGGCACCAATGTTCAGGGAAAGCTTCTCCAGGCTCAAGGTAGACGTTCTGCCACAATACACAAAAGTCACCGGCTCAGCTTTCCCATCTGTGGAGAAAGAATAATGCAAGAGAAAGTTTGAGGAATACCTAGCAGGGAAAAATCTTGTATTCAAATCTGACATTTATTCTTAATCTACTGTAAGACCTTATACTGCACTTAGGAGAATCATTTTTATTTATTTATTTATTTATTATTTATTTATTTAAATTTTATTTATTTATTTATGTGTGTGTGTGTGTGTGTGTGTGTGTGTGTGTGGCCAGCTCAGCCCACCAGGGGGCAGGGCTGGCTGGCATGTGGTGCTGGGGGATCGAACCGCGGTCCCTTTGTCTTTGCTAAGCTTGTTCCAAGTAGGTGCTTTAGACCACTGAGCCATCTCACCAGCCCAGGAGAATCATTTTAATAGCACTTTTATTCATGAACTTCTATGAAGTTTTTTAAATTAATTATTACTGTTTTTATTACTTTTTTTGCAACAGGGTCTCACTCTATAGTCCAGGCTGGGCCTGAATTTACTATGTAACGCTAGCTGGCCTTGAACTCATGGCAATCCTCCTGCCTTAGTCTCCTGAGTGCTGGAATTATGGGCATGTGCCATACAAACTTTTTATTTTATTTTATTTTTTGAGACAGGATCTCGCTATGCAGTTTGGGCTGGCCTTGCGCTCACTTTTTTTTTTTTTTTTTTGCGCTCACTTTTGTAGCCCCCAGGCTGGTCCCAAACTTGCAGTGGTCCTCCAGTCTCAACCTCCCAAGTGCTGGGATCCACCACCATGCCTGGATCCACCACGGTTCTGGGCCGGCAAGGCATGCAGGGCCAGGGATAGAGCTCAGTCTCTCTCTCTCTCTCTCTTTTTTTTTTTTGTGGAACCAGGGATTGAACTAGGCCCTTGTGCTCTACTGAGCCATCTCCATGGCCCCTCAGTCAAACTTTTTAAAACATGAAAAACTTGATTGTTTGAGTACAATATTGGCTGAAAAGAAACTGTAAGCAACAAAGTGATTTGTCCACAAAATTCACTTGGAAAGACATAATTTCCATCCTAAACATGGGTAGAACTCTCCAGGCTTCAGATATGCATAGTACAAAGACAGCCAGAGAGTCCTAGCATATTGTTTCAAGCCCCAAGTCATTTTCTTAGGAACATATTATCAGTGTATAGGAAGAGGACCAAGGTAGCTTGATTCATGGGGGAGACAACGACTTTTCCTCACCAGATGAGTGGGATGTCACAGAAGATGGCTCCTTCCTGAGGCCTAAGACCAAGATCTGCTCCACCACACACTTGCTGGAAAAATGTCCCTGTTCATCAGCACATCTGGAATATACAAAGTAGTATTATCAAAAGGAGAGGGCTGATGGCTAGGATTGGGCAACATGTACACCTGTAAGTTCCCCTCTCATCTGTCCTGATTCATGTAGGGTCATACTAACTGGGACAAAGAGATGAGAAAGGATGACTTTTTGCGTCCAGGACCAGCTAACAGCCAAGCCAGACTCCTTTTAATAAGCCATTTGGAGTAAAATCACTAAAGAATACAAAAATCACATGTGTGACCAGGATATTGTAGTCAAGTGGTAAGAAATCAGGTGAATGGCAAATGGAAGAATGAATGGAATTAATGGGAGCTTAAACTGAATCTGTTTTAGTTTTTAGAGGAGAGATGGAGACACCATGAAAAAAAACACTCAGGATACAGTGAAGAATAGATGGCTTTCAACTATCTATTTCTTTAAGTAGAAACTTAAAAGATCAGATATACACGTATGCCAGGATGCCAAAATGATAGTCCTGAATAACATAAGAACACACAGAGCTTCTTTAGCTGCTGTTACCTGTTGGTCAAAACACTGGAACAGAATGAAAGCTTCCGGTGCAAGAACTGCCTCTGGTGGAGGTACTGGAATGAATGGCCGTCGTCGAGATACAGCTCTCCCACTGCAGAACCCTGGAGAGTGGGTCAGAGAACACACCTCTATAGTGGTTGTATAGGGAAAGGATTCAGACCTCAAAGGGAAATAACTTTATTTATTTATTTATTTATTTATTTTTGTGGTACCGGGGATTGAAGGGAAATAACTTTAGAAGTCACAAAAAATTACGTCAGACAAAAGTGCATGATTTGCCAGTCTGGGCTTAGAATGTCCCCCAAAGGCCCATGTGCCAAAGGCGTGGTGCCCAGGCCATGGCGCTCCTCAGAGATGGTAGAGTCCTGAAGAGGTGGGGGCTCATGGGAGGGCTCCAGGGCCCCAGCCCTTGCCTTCATGGGATGGTGCTCCTGATCTCTTCCTTTCCTCAGTGCTTCCTGGCTGTGAAGTGAGCACCTCTGTTCTGCCACGCATGCGCCATCCTGGTGTGCTACCAACCCATATGACCCAAAGCGACAGGGCTAACAGTTTAATGAACTAAACTGTCAGAACTGTCAACATAAACAAACTTTCTCTTCTCATAAGTTGAGTCTCCCAGCCATTACTGTGACAGAAAGCTGGCTAACATGACAGTCAAGCTGCAAAAAGGTCCTACAAATATCCAGTCACTCTCAAATAGATGATGAAATGATATGAGTAGGGAAATCATACAAAAGGAGCACAAAGAGTCACTGAAGGCATTTAAACTATGAAAGATGTTCACTGTTTTAAGTGGTTTTCTTGAAAATACTATCTCAGAATATGCAACAAAACCAAGAAAGTTCACTCAGAAAATAATGGATTTTCCACTTAAGAGGATGGTATCTAGCTCCTGATTTCTCTAGTACAAGGTTCCTTTCTGAATGTTAGAGCTCTCCGTGTGGCAGATTATCCTTATCAACAGTGCCTGGTGTGTTTCAGGTCACTAGTCTCTTGCACTGAATCTGGGACCTCACCTGGGCCCAAAGCCCATACGTAGGCCCAAAAAGACATGCCTAAGCAAAACAGATGGAAAAGAAAGCTATAATTTATTTTATAACTTTAACATAAATAAGGATAAGCTTTATAGTAAGAGTCGGTGTTTGGCCCTATAATATATTTAGGCAAATGGTCAAGAGGAAAATCTGCTATAGGCCTCATTTGGCTCAAAAAATCTATTCGGGATCATTCCAGACTTTACTCAAGGAGATTTTAGTTATTTGGGCTACTTGATGAGAACAGGAGTCATTTGGTGGGGCTGGGGTCCCTGAATTAGTAAACAGACACAGGTATCCTGTCCTGGGAGCCTAGATTTCAGGGGTGATTCACAGGGCCAAGCAGTCTATGGCCTGATGAGGTTTTAGAATAGCAGTAATCGATACCAGGCTAAAGAGCACCACTAGTCACGTGCCTGAGAAAGGCATTTCCATCATTCCAGGGTAGCAAAGTCAATTTAAGAACAATTTTAGGAAGGGCAGGCAAGCTAGGCAATGATTCAGAACCTTCATGTCCAGACAAACATCAACACACCTGTCTCACAAATGGGGCTCCCCACTTTTACATGCTGTCATACACTCTGAAGGCCACCACTGTAATGATATATAAGAATTTTCCAAATACCTGAGTGCTCAGGGCCACGCGGAGTCCATATGGCAGATCAGTCATCCAGCCAGTGGACCTTCCCACAGCTGTCTTTATTGGCACCACACTTCCGCCTCGCTGAAACACTGGTATCTGTAACACAGCAGCCCTCTCCGTAAGCACACTCACAGAGGAACTTTCAGAGTAGCGGGGGCCGGGGGCCGGGGGCCGGGGAGATAGCAGTTTAAGGTATTTGCGTGTACAAGATCACATTCTTTACATTCTTGGGGTTATTAAAGAAGAAGAGAGCTCCACTAGAGAAGAGCCCACTTTTTTCAATTATTTTGGGAAACTGACTACCTTCATTGCTTTATTGTACATGCCCATCTTTGCTTTTGTTTCTGTGAGTGTGAATTCTATCTGCTCATCCTATAAGTACCCTTTTCTGTCTTGTACTTTTAGTGTTCCTGTCAACATACTACACGTTTCCTTTTACACCTCTGCTGAAGAGTGTGCTTCCTGCCTGCGTAGGTGAGTTCAGGTAGTCTGCATACAAGTATGTGTGTATGTGATGCACTTGCTTTGGGACAATGACTTTTGTCCTTCCTCACTGCACCCACATTCTTCTTGCTCCCTGCTTCACTGGATCAGCAGGATGATGTCCCAATTCTGAGGGCAAATCTGTGAAACTGTTTGTTATAAAACCATTAAGGGTTCTTTAAGTAACTCTAACAACAGCTGTGGGCATGGCGCACAGCTATTGGCCTTCTGGAATGGCACTTCTGTTGGGGTTGGCCTTTGTCAGGTTTCCTGCCTCCGGTATGGCAGCTGCCTGAACAAGATGAGGGCTTATATTTTGCTTGGAGTAAAGTATTAGCAAGGAGAAGCACACATAAGCATTTATGATGTGGGGAGTGAGGGTGGAGGACTTAAGATGTCATCTAAAGTTAACCTGCAGTTGGCAGCAAGAAGTAAAGTACATCTATCTCCTGCACACAAGCTCAAAAACCTTTTTTCTTTTTCCATGTATTTGGTACAGGGGCTCACTACACAGCTCAGACTCATAGTGAGCCTCCTGTTTTCAGCCTCCCCAGCACTGTGATTTACAGGCACGCACCACCATGCCCACTCTTGGTGGCCAGCTCAGCACACCCTGGGGCAGGCCTGGCAGGGCATGTGGTGCTGGGGATTGAACCCTAGTCCCTCTGCTTGCTAAGCAGCTGCTTAGTCCACTAAGCTATCTCGCCAGCCTCAAAAATTGGTCTTTTATTTGTCCATACAAGATTTTTTTATGGCACACATGCTGACCACCATTCTGTTTTCAATGTTACTTTTTAAAAGAGAAAACCAATAAAAACAACAGAATTTCAAAACAAGATGACAGGAAATTAACAGTGGTTATTATATTGTATATAGTTGTCTTCAAAGTAGTTACTCAGATATCAGACAAAGGCATGCTAGATTAAATGAGATAAGTACTAACTGTTCCTTTAAATAAACTAATAGAAAGTAGTACAATTATTTTAGTTATCTTGTCCTCCTTCCTTCTTTTCTCCTTTCCCCCATCTCAGCTGTTCTTTCCTTTTGAGTAGTTTCCTTCTCTTTCACAATATTTATGTACCTTTGGATCTTATTTATACTTGCAGTTTCTTTTCTTTCTTTCTTTCTTTCTTTCTTTCTTTCTTTCTTTCTTT